AATATACCCTGTCCCTCTATTCTGGCCTGTCAAGTTTCTGTGGACAGATCTGCTCTGAACCTGATTGGTCCTCCCTTGTAGGTTAAGGACTTTTTTTCTCTTGCTGCTTTCAGGATTCTTTCCTTGTCTGTGTATTTTGCAAATATGACTATGATATGCCTTGGCAATGGTCAGCTTTTGTTGAATTCAATAGGAGTTCTCTGTGCTTCTTGGATTTTGATGTCTGTGTTCTTCCCCAGATTAAGGAAGTGTTCAGCTATAATTTTCTTGAATAAACCTTCTGCCCCTTTTTCTCTCTCTTCATCTTCTGGGACTCCTGTGATACAAATGTTATTGTGTTTTAAGTAGTCGCTGAGTTCCCTAAGTCAACTTCATGGTCCATTACCTTTCTTTCTCTCTTTTTTTCAGCTTCATTATTTTCCATAATTTTATCTCCTATATCACTGATTCCCCTCCTCTGCTTCATCCACCCTGTTTTTATGGCATCCATTTAGGTTTGCATCTCAGTTAACATTTTGAATTTTGGCCTGACTGGATTTTAGCTCTTTTATCTCTGCAGTAAGGTATTCTCTAGTGTCTTCTATGCTTTCTTCCAGCCCAGCTAGTATCTTTATAATTGTTGTTTTAAATTCTAATTCAGACTTCTTACTTACATCTGTATTATTTAAGTCCTTGGCCATGAGTTCTACTTCCTACTCTTCTTTTGGGGTGAATTTCTCCATTTCATCATTTTGTCCAGAAAACAACACAAGAAACAAATAAAAAAAACAAAAAACAAAAAAATGAAAAACAAAACAAAAACCAAAAAAACTAAATCCTGAGTGTGTTTTGGTCTGCTTGTTAGAAGAACCTAGGTCCCAAAATAATAATAATAAATAAAATAAAATAAAAATAAGCAAAAATATAAAATATATATAAATTAAAAATAAGAAATAAAAAAGGAATTGAAAAAATAAAATAAAAATAATTAAAAAATTAAAAATAAAAGTAAAAAGGAAGCTAGATCCTATTTCTCCTAGAGCTGAAGCTTTGCAACACTCTATGATCAGTAGACTTGGTGCAAGTGAGTTGTTTGAGCTGGTCTCCTCGGGGAGGGGTGTGTTGAGCTAATTCTCAGGCTGACTTGTTTCAGGGAAGATACACCTTCAGGGCACAGAGGGGCGGGACTCAGTGTAAGTGGTTCAGGACTCCACTAGGTGGTGCTGTTTTGCTCCGTGAAGTTTTCGGGCTGATGGGTTGGATGAATATGGTGTGCTCAGCCCTCTAGCCCGGAGTTATAAGTTTGCACCCCCCGCTCTTCAGTGAGCCCTTACAGAAATGCAATCAATCACCCTTCTTGTGTCCCTGGTTTCCGTGTGAATCCTGCATTCGCCCTGCCTGTGTCTGAGCTGTTTTATCTCAGGCATGCAACGGAGTTTCAGAACTCCAAATTTTAGGGACTCCTGCATTGCAGACCCACACTGTTCCTCTGGGGGAGGGTCTTGCTGTGCTTTTGCTGTGTGCTGGCCAGTCCCAGGAAAGTGGGTGCACAACCACACAACAGTTTGCCGTTTATGGCAAGGTGGAATGGAAATCCAGCACCAAGACTCACTGCTTTCAGCCAGCTTCCCTGCACCTATGCCTGGGAACAGCGTGCACATTGGCACCGCTTGTTCTTCTTGCAACCCAGGGGATCCTCACCCGACCACACTGTCACTCCTGGCACTCTGCCCCACTTCACCACCTGAGCACCTTTAAGCCTGGCATGTCCCTCACAGTAGCGAACTTCTAACAGTTCAGATTTTGCACTCCGCTGCTTATAATACTTTGTGGTAGGTCTACAAAATCAGGCTCCTTCCCTGCTGCCATATCCACAGCTATATCTCCCCCAAGTCAACTCTCTGCACCTCTTACCTTCCAGAAGGTGGTCACTCTTCTACTTGTAGACTTGCGGTTTTTGTTCTCTCAGAACTCTGATTGACTTCTTGGATGTTCAGAATGATTTGATAACTATCTAGCTGCGTTGGAAAGAGAGAAGCTTATAGGGTCCCCCTACTCCTCCACCATCTTAACTCTCCAGTTTTTTTCTTTTTTAGATCTTGCAATCTGAATTGATGCCAGTGGGTTAAAAACATCCCAAGGGAGAGTCTTGGGACTGAAGAAGAAGATCCCATGTTCCTAGAAAAGTAGAGAAGGCCCATCACCAAAAATTTCCCCCCAACTCCTGGTTGGTGTCCCACCAGGATATACCAGAGGTTCCAGGTGTCAAAAGCAGCTGGTGGTGTCCTTCAAAGGAAATTGGTATTGATTACCATTCTTCCATAAAGGCCCCACAGGAGGGATGCCAGGGACCCCCTCCTTCCCCATTGCATTCTAGACTACAAATGGGTACCAGAGCATGGACTGAAATACCGTGCTATGCCATGAAGAACCTGACATTTTTAACCCATGGAAAACACCAGAAAAGCTTTACAAGGGGACATTACCCAATTTTGTAACTTAAGTAGTCAGTAGGGGACATTGATGAAAAACAGTAAAGATAGAAATCCATCATGATCTAAGTGACATCCCAACACAGGTAGTCTGCACAGCCAATTTCTCTAGGAAACATCCTTGGTTAGGTTTTAATTCTATTCAGTACTGGTGTTGGCCAGTTCTGAGTGGAGTTTCCTCAGCCAGAAGTGGCTAGGCCAGGGATGTGGAGGGGATCACATTAGACCAATGAAGAGGAAACCTCACATGGGAGTCTTAAGTTCAGCAGCTGTGCTGGTCACTTAGGTAGCTGTCTCATGCCCAAGACAGACATCTTTCTATAAGGACAGGAATAAAGAGAGGTCATCAAGTTTCTGGGTCTTATTACCATTCTGGCCAGGGTACTAACTTCTAACCAAAAGGCAGACTTTCTCCTCCTCCTAAAGTAGCCACGGGCTAGAGGTTTAGAGCCTGAGCAATCAGCAGGACAGTGTTCAGTAAGACCATAAAAAGCTCCTGGAGTGAAAGTAAAGGGAGAGGAGAGGAAATAGTCACCAAATTTCATCAAGGCTCAGAGTCCAGATGAGCAGACTCAAAGCCCCATGTTGGACACCAAATGATGTAAATGATGTGATTTGAAGTTTTGGGTTTGTGAGCAAATGGCTAAGGAAGAATTCTTGAGACATTTTTGGTGCAAAAAGTGATTTTATTATAACATGGGGACAGGACCCGTGGGCAGAAAGAGTTGCACTGGCATTGTGATGGGTGACACTATATACTTTTAGGTTTGTGGAGGAAGGTGGGGTAGAGATAAAGTAAGTTTCAAAGGAATTTTGAAGCGAGCCTTTTAAGATGTTGAGGGTCTACCTGCTGTTAGATAAGATTACTCTTTGTCTCCAGCAAAACATCAACATTAAGGCAACCTCAAGTTCCTCAAAGAAGGTCACGCTCTGCATGTCTCAGGGATTTATCAGTGGGCTGCAAGCTGTAAGATTTGATTTAAGCTAGATTTCTCTTGCCTTTGTTTTCCTCGTTAGAGACCCAACAGAAGAAAGGACTAGAGAGACAAAAACAGATCACCAGAAATACTTCAGTTAGGGGAGCAAAAGGGAAAAAAAGCCCCATGAGGCAAATCAATACCCACATTGTGAGGATTTCAGAAGAAGGAAGGATGGACCAGAAAGATAAGGAAATAATGGCCAAGAACTCTCCAGAGCTGGGGAGGGAAATTGACAAACTATGAGAAACGTCCTGGGGCTGAAACAGGAAATAATTAGGAAAGACTCTTGGACCGCAAGGCTGCAGAGGGCCCCTCTGGGGACAGTCCACATTGGACACAGGGTTTCTGTGTGAGTGGATGGGGGTTTCCGTTTATAGGGCAAGCTCCTGCCTGAAGCCTCTGGTGCCCCAAGCACCCATTGTATGGTGGCAGCCCCTGGCCTCTGAGACCGAGCCACCGCCCTCCACCCCATGCTCCTTTGTTTCAGAGATCTTAGTTGATCTCACTAACTGACCATTTGGACCTCTTGTTTGTTTTGTTTTTGTTTTTTTTTCTTCACGAACTTAAATTCCTGCTCTTATGTTAAATTCTCCGATAAAGAGTAAGCCCATGAAACCCGAAGTGCCCTCCACCTTGATCCTAATAAAAGCAGAAGAACCCCAGGCTTGTGGCCTCGCTGTGTGGTCCCAGGCGTGTCATGTACTTCCCAGGACATGTGAGTAATAAACCTCCCCCCCGCCCCCCCACCATGTTTCCTGATGGTTATTGCTGGGGGCAATTGTGAGAACCACAGGGGCTGATCCAGACACAACACGGGTTGTTGACAGGCTGAGACCCCCACATCACAGGTTCTTGTTTGTGTGCTTGTTCACTCATCCCCTCATCTGTGCAGGTCTGAGTGGCACTTAGGGGAGCCTGTTTTGCTAATCTGCAGAGGGGTTTTGTTTTGTTTTTGTTTTTTTAAGTAGGCTCAACGCCAAACATAGGGCTGGAACTCGTGACCCTGAGATCAAGAGTCGCGTGCTCCACCAACCGAGCCAATCTGCAAATTTCTATTATTTTCCTCCTCAGCAGCTTCAGGCCAGCTTGTATAAAGTTCAAAAGTCTTTTGCATCTGCTTTGACCCTTTGACTTTGTGGGGCTCACATACCTTGGCATCCCATAAAACATACCTTGACACCACACTCACCAAGTGTGTCTATATTAGGACCTCATGTGACACAAAAGTTTGTATGAATTTAAGGTAAGGAAGGGGTTTCCATTTGAAAAATGAAGAAAAAGTTATTTAAATACTAGCAAATCCACAGCTTGGCATTTTCTGAGGACCCAGGCACAGCCTTGGAGACATTTTTCCTGACAGACGTGGACCACCCGAAGGTGGCCACCAACATCGGAAATGGCACAGCTACCAGCCCCAAAAGACAAGCGGCATATAGGACGGTAGCCACGTTCACATTTTGAGAACACAGGCAAGATCTGATTATTTTACTTCCTCTTTGTAACTCTTGTGAGCCTTATCTGAGTACCACTCTCCGGTCGTCCTTTGCAGATGGGGGAGAAGCCTGGCCTCTGGTGAGATGAGCTTTCCCTGCCATCGGCCAGGCCGGGTCGCCAGGCTTCTGCAGCTGCTGCTGCTGACCCTGGGTGAGTAGGGGCCACACAGGGACAGGGGCCTAAGTTTCTAATGTCAGCCTGTGGGGGGAAACCCAGGGGCTTCTCTCTCCGCTTCCACTTGGGCTTCAGAGACATAGCAAGAGGTGGAAAGTGAGCAGAGCCGGGTTTCCAGGAAAACCAAAAGGCTCCAGAGAGACCTTGGAGTCTTTTGTGGCCCCTTGGCTTCCCACCTGGTCCCTCTCCCACCTCATAGGAAGCTGGGATTTTTCTCTCTGCCAAACCACACCTCTAAACCCTCAGAGAAACAATTACTGTCAACATGGGCAAGGGAGGGAAGGTCTGCAGAGCAATACAGCTCCCTTCCTGAGATTTTAAGCCAATACTTAACCAGAGATTGAAAAAGTCGGGGGATGGGCGCCTGGGTGACTCAGTCGTTAAGCGTCTGCCTTCAGCTCAGGTCTTGATCCCAGGGTCCTGGGGTTGAGCCCCATGTCAGGGCTCTCTGCTCAGCTGGGAGTCTGCTTCTCTCTCCCTCTGCCTCTTCCCTTCTCTGTTCCCTTTCTCGCTCTTGCTCTCTCAAATAAATAAATAAAATCTTTTTAAAAAAAAGAAAGAAAAAGTAGGGGGAACAGCGCCCAAGAAGTGAGGTTGGGGGGGTAGATAAAGCATCTCTCCCAGCCCTTCTCTGCTTCTGCCCTGCCCAGTTCAGGCCGGAGAAGAGAGGGAGAGCGAGCACAAGCTCCTACGTGCATAGCAAGGAGACCAGGGGTGTGGGTACGAGACATTCGCGTTCATCCCATAAATCATAGGCTGTATTTTTGTTTGGGCGCTATGGGAGGTATGGAATGTGGAGGAAGGAATGGGAGGGAGAGCCTGAGAAGGGGCTGTGGCTGGGTTGCTGGGGCATTTCTCAGAGTCTAAGGAAGCGATGGAACAGCATCATTCCATGCTAACCTTTAACCCTTGGCTCTCCCACAGCTTCCGGACAAGAGCAGTCAGGTCAGTCTTCCTTTCTCTTTCCTTCCTGCTCTCTGGGCATTGGTCCTCCTGGCCAGCACGCCTGTCCCCGTAAATGCAGGCTGAGGGGATGTGCCAGCATGAGTGGTGCTGCCACTCTGGGGTCACACCTGTTACCATGGCCGGTGAACAGAACCTCCTGTGATCTCTGCAGCCTTCAGTTCTTTCCCCATCAGTGCAGGGCAAGGAAGCATTTGCAGAGCTAGGAGGCTAATGCCCAGAACCTTCCAACTGTCTCCTTTCTTCCCTAAGGACCATCCCCCCACACCTGTATATTCAAGCTAGAGCCACAATCAAAGGACAGAAAAACAGCTCCCATTCACAGAACAAGTGCTGCAGCCAAATCTTTATACACCTCCAAGGGAGCTCACATTGCTGTCCCGCTTCAACTTCTGGTCCCATTTGTTGGTTGCAATCTTACATACAAAGGTGATTTCCCAAGCAGCCCGTGCCTCTCCATTCAAATTCTTTATATCCTTTAATCTTCTACTGTGTCTGACTTAGATGCAGTGTAGACAAAGGTTGTCTTCTCCATAGAATCTCAAGTTAAAGTTTAAAAGTAATGAAAGCAGGAAAAAAAAAATGTTCATTATATATGAGCCACCAACTAGGAAGTGGTTTTTCAGAGTTTAGAAACTACATCCCAGGCCCACCTATACCTTGACAGGAATGTACAGGACAAGAGCATTTCAAAATCAGCCACCTACAGAGGCCCTCATACTGTGTCCCCAGCTACACATCCCGTCTCCTGAGCTTTTCTGAGCCCACCCCAGGGACCTGAGACCTCTCCCCTATGACACCCACCTGCCCACTTCTGGGCTAGGCAAAGGATGAGGAAGAGCAGGTTCTGCCCCAGGCATGTCCCCAGGTTGTATCTGCTCCCTTCCCAGTGGGAATGAGCCCAGCTGCAGGTTGTGCCCTCCCCCGGGTTCAACCCACCTCCCATTCACCTTCACCTGCCTGCACCTTTCTCTTTCCTGTTCAGCAACATTCCCAAAAGCTTTTCTTCTCCTCACACCTCCATGGTCCACAACCTTCAAAGGAGAGGAAGTGACTCTCACCTGCAAGGATCACCATTCTCTGGCCCAGGGATACATATCTTGGTATTACAATGGGGATTTCTTGAAAAAAGGACCTGAAACAATCCAAATAAAGAAGTCTGGACGTTACTCATGCAAGACCCAAAGATCTTCCCTCAGTGACCCCGTGCACGTGGAATTTTTATCTGGTGAGGAAAGAAAGGGGTGAGTTTCTGAAATCAAGCTGCTGGGCACATGTCTGAAGGCTGAGTGAATGCAGGGAACCCAGGCAGGGTTGTAAGCAGACATGAGGATATCTGATGAGCTGATCCCAGTGTTTGCAGGGCTCTAGCTCTTCCCTCATGGGTAGAAGTGAGAGTTTGAAGAAAGAAAGAGATGGAATATGTTTGTTCACTCTTTGCAGACTGGCTGATCCTCCAGGCTTCGCACCCTGTCTTTGAAGGAGATGATGTAGATCTGAGATGCCGGGGGAAGAAAGAAAAAGATATTAATGAAAAGATTTACTACAGAAATAATGAAGTAATTAGGCATGGCTATAACTCAGAAGTCATAAGACTACATTCGGTCTCCAGGGACAATAGCAAATATCATTGTACTGCTTCTGGGCAATCTCTTTGGATGCAATGGAGAATAATTTCAGAACCTTTAAAGATCCAAGTTCAAGGTAATGGCTACACTCCTGTGGGTAATAGGTCTTGGCAGGGGAAGTGTGTGAGGATCAAAGAGGGAGTACTCATCAGTGGGGACTTCATGAGAAGCCTTTTCTGAGCAGCCATGGGAAGGAGATGGGAGGTGGTTCCATCTCCATGGGTCCCTGCCTCCTGACATTCTGCTGAGAACACAGATGCATCTCTCCAGGAGCTCGCAGCCTCACTGCCCTGGAAACTGTGTGTGTTCTCTCTAGCGCTGTTTCCACATCCTGTGCTGAGAGCCAGCTCCTCCCAGCCCATCGAGGGGAGCCCAGTGAGCCTGAAATGTGAGACCTGGCTCCCTCCACTGAGGTCACACATTCAGCTTCAGTTCTGTTTCTTCAGAGAAGATAAGGTCCTAGGATCTGGCTGGATTGACTCCCCGGAGCTCCAGATCCTCACCATGTGGAGTGAAGACTCAGGATCCTACTGGTGCCAGGCAAAGGCAGTGACCCCCAATATCATAAAAAAAAGCCTGAAATCCTGGATACATGTGCAGAGTGAGTATCTGTGGGGCAGCTTTTCCAGAGTGAGGAGAGCAGAGCGTGACTTCTCCTGCTCCCTGAGATAGCGAACATGGCAGAAAGGAGCTGCCAGCCATCCTACTATCCTTTTCTCTTAGGTTCAACGTTGGCCTAACTTCCCTATAACATTCTCTCCCATCTAAGTTAGGTGATAGTGGTTATTGATCACTTTCTGGGTGTCCAACATGTGGGGGCCTCAAAGACATACAGGGTACATTTTCTCATGGGTCAACAGTTAACAAAAAGCACCGATGACCACACGAAGTCTGTAGAGGCCCCTATGGGGCTGTCCATGTGTCGACCGAAAATTATTCCAAAATAATAAGAAAAGAGGAAGATAAGCACAAACTGAAATAGTCAGAGAAGAAGGTGGGGAGGTGGTGCTGAGACTGGAGGAGCCTTGGAGGATGGAGAGAGGTTTGGGATCTGAATCAAGTCACTTCAGGGTACAAGGAACCTCCCCTGTTCTCTCTTTCTTTGTGGTCCATTGATACATCAGAGATGCCTTAGAGATAAAGGTCTGTAAAATGTGACTGTGGTCAACACCTAGTTTAAAAAGAAGATAGACCTGGTGCCCACATTACCCGAGGATGGTAACTATTGTGTGGGGGGACAGGTACGGCTCCCTTCATAAGAATGTGCACAATCAGGTCCTTATTTCCCACTTTAGACCCGCTGATATTGGCTTATTCGTGGCAACCCCAGCCTTCCCCTTGGCCCTGCAGCACCTGCCTTTGAGACCCTCTCAAGACCTTCTCTGTCCTCCTAGGGATCCCTGTGTCTGATGTGAATCTAGAGATCCAGTCCCCTGGGGGCCAGCTGATTGAAGGAGAAGATCTGGTCCTTATCTGCTCAGTAGCCAAGGGTACAGGGACCATCACATTCTCCTGGCACCGGGAGGGCACAGAGAGGCGCTTGGGCAGGAAGATTCAACGTGCCCTGTCAGCAGAGCTGCGGATAGCCACCGTGAGCAAGCAGGATGCTGGGAGGTACTACTGCTCAGCCGACAACCTCTACGGCCCCATCCTCAGTAAACGGATCAGAGTCACACTGAGAAGTAAGTTCCTCCTTCTTTCACTCACCCTTGTTCCCCAGCCAGGGTTTAGGTTCTCTGTCAGCTACTAGGGTCTTCTGAAGGAGGCAAGGAACAGAGGCATGAAGATTTAAATGCCAACGAGGAACGGCAAAGGTGGAAAGTAATGTGAGACAATTTACTTCTTGTGGAGAAGACTGAGTAGTAATGAAAACAAAATTATCTAACATCCCTCCTCATGGTTCAAGGAATCCATCTACTTTCAGGCTCCTTTTTCTGACGGCCCCCTGTCTCCCTCAGTCCCAGCGTCCCGGCCCGTCCTCACCCTCAGGGCGCCCGGGGCCCAGGCCGTGGTGGGGGACGTGGTGGAGCTTCGCTGTGAGGCCCAGAGCAGCTCTCCCCCGATCCTGTACCGGTTTTATCACGAGAATGTCACCCTGGGGAGCAGCTCGGCCCCCTCTGGAGGAGGAGTGTCCTTCAACCTCTCTCTGACCCCAGAACATTCTGGAAACTACTCCTGTGAGGCTGACAATGGCCTGGGGGCCCAGCGCAGCGAGGCGGTGCCACTCAGGGTCACAGGTAGGACATGTCCTGATCCCAGGTCCATATTCCTCCCACTAAATTATGCTGGATATTTCCTTTATTATCTGGTATACATGCTCAATTAAAACTGCCCATGAACTATGTTTCCTCCCTCAGTTCCAGTGTCCCGCCCTGTCCTCACCTTCAGCCCTGCCAGGGCCCAGGCTGTGGTGGGAGATTTGTTAGAACTTCGCTGTGAGGTCCAGAGAGGCTCCCCGCCAATCTTATACTGGTTTTATCATGAAGATGTCATCCTGGGGAACACCTCAGCCCCTTTTGGAGGAGGAGCATCTTTTAACCTCTCCCTGACCACAGAGCATTCTGGAAATTACTCCTGTGGGGCTGACAATGGCCTGGGAGTCCAGAGCAGTTACATGGTGACACTCAACTTCACAGGTGGGTTGGGGGTACCTGAGCTACGGGTTACAGTTAAGGTCAATAAAATATTTTTCCTACAAACTATACAAATTCTACCAGCACAAAGAGCTTTTGAACATGCCACCAAGGCTTGGGGCTTCTAGAGATTGTGCTGATTTCATGGGAGAAGGAAAGGGAATAGATTTCAATCTTAAATGCTGACAATCATGTGCCATTATTTTGAAAGTTACAAATTATACTGGAGATAATTTAAATGGAGGAATCAGAACCTGGAAGAAAACTGCCCTGATAGATCTCTAGCCCCCACCTTCATGTTGTCTAGATCAAAAACACTTGCCAACAGAACTCAAATATAGGTCTTCCCACTTAGGGCTTTCCACGAACAAAGTAATCCATATCACTGTGGGCGTCATCGGGTGGCTGGTAAGCATGCTTGGCCTTGCTGCTACTGCTTCTTTGGTGAGTCACTTCAGGACCCAAAGGAAATCAGGTGGGTGTCTATGTATTACCCTTTGGAGTTGTGACTTTTGCCATTGCTATAATACTTGGGACTTGTATGGTGCATCCTATTAAGGTCATTATTCTCTTCCAAACACTAGACCCTCAGTTCTACTCACTGGCACTCTGTAGGCAATAGTGACAAAAAGGCAGAATACATTTCTCAATGAAGTTGGTACTCCATGTGTTTTAGTTGAGATTTAAGTCAGGTAGCAGAATTTTGCTTCCCATTAAAAATTAGAAAGGTAAGTATTTACTATTCCACTCCAGGTTCAAAGCTTACTAAGAACAAAAGGAATAATAATAAAGCCTTCCATTTGTAACAACAAAAAATAAGTAATAGCCATGGTGCAAACCATAAACTCTGAGATATATTTGAGTTCCAGTCAAATACCGTGAAATTTGGAAAATTAATGGAGACGCTGAGAGTGAAATTAAAATTTCAGGTTTTATTATTGCTAGTATATAGAAATACAATTGACTTTTTATATTGATCTTATATTCTACAACCATGCTAAATATATACTTATTAGTTCCAATCTCTGTTTTGTAGATTCCATCAGATTTTCTGCATAGGTGTTTCTGTCATCTGCAAATAAAAATAGTGCTACTCCTTCCTTTTCAATCTGGGTTACTTTTATTTCTTCTTCTTGCCTTAAGGCACAGGCTAGAACCTCCTGTACATGCTGAATAGAAGTGGTGAGAGCAGACATGCTGGTCTCATTCCTGACCTCAGGGGAAAGTATTTGGTCTCTCATCATTTACTATGATAATGTTAGCTGTGGATTTTTTATACATGTTTTTTTATTAGGCTAAGGCAGTCCCTACTATTTATAACTTGCTGAAAGTTTTTATAGGAAAAATGTTTGTCAAATGCTTTTCCGACACTGATTAAGATGATCATATGATTTTCTTTTCTAGTCTATTGATATGGATTTTGAATTTTGAATGTTAAAACAGGCTTGCATTTGTGAGGTCAACTTCACTTGGTCATGATTGTTGAATTTGATTTGGTAAAATTTTGTTAAGAATGTTTGCAACTACATTCATGAGGGATATTGCTTGGTAGCTTTATTTTCTTGTCATAACTTTATCTGACTTGATGTTAAGGTAACACCCACTTAGTTACCACTTCTAGTATTTGTCATTCCTTTTTGTGTTTCCATATTTCCATATGGTATCATTTTCTTTCTGCCTGAAGTACTTTTCACATTTCTTACAGTGTGGGTCTGCTGGTGAACTTGCCTGGTTGTGTTGCTAAAGTCTATTATATCCTTACTGATTTTCTACTTGATCTATCAATTATTGAAAGAAGGGTATTGAAATTGCCAACTCTAATTATGGATTTATCCATCTCTTCTTACAATTCTATCAACTTTTGCTTCAGGTATTTTGAAGCTCTTTTATTATGTGCATAAATGTTTATAATTGTTTATGTTTTTGATAAAATGACCACCTTATCTTTGTGAAATGATATTTTTATCCCTGGTAGTGTCATTTACTCTGAGATAGTCTTCAATATTAATGTATTAACATAAGTAATGTTAATATGGTATTTCTTTTTTTTAATATTTTATTTATGCATTTGAGAAAGAGAGTGAGAGAGACAGCATGAGATGGGGGAGGGTCAGAGGGAGAAGCACACTTCCCGCTGAGCAGAGAGCCTGATGTAGGATTTGATTCTGGAACTCTGGGATTGTGACCTGAGTCAAAGGCAGATGCTTAACCCACTGAGCCACCCAGGTGCCCCTAACATGGTATTTCTTTATCCATCTTTTTACTTGTAACCTATTTGGGCCCTTATATTTAAAGTATTTTTTATAAAATAGATAGCATATATTTAATTCTTTTTACCCAAGAACAATCTCTAACTTTTAACTAAGGTGTTTAGACCATTTACATTAATGTGATGATAAGGTTAGATTTAATTCTATTATTTTGCTATTTGTTTTCTATTTGTTCCATCTGTTCTTTGTTTTCCTTTTCCTTTTTTTCTACCTTCTTTTAGACCAATTGAGTATTTTTTTATGATTCCACTTTTTCCCTTTGTTGGCTTATTAGGTATATAATTCTTTGTTTTGTTTACTTTACTGGTTGTTTTAGCATTTATAGTATAGACATCTAACTTACTACAATCTATCTTCAAGTGACATTAGATCACTTCACATATAGCGTAAGAATATTACCATCATTGGGGCACCTGGGTGGCTCAGTTGGTTAAGACTCTAACTCTTGATTTTGGCTCAGGTCGTGATCCCAGGGTCATGGGATCAAGCCCCATATTGGGCTCCACGCTCAGCCACAGAGTCTGTGTGAGATTCTTTTTCCCTCTTCTTCTGCCCTTCCCCCCACTCGCTTTCTCTCTAAGAAAGTAAGTAAATAAATAAATGAAATCTTAAAAAGGAAGAAGACTATTCCATCATGTATTCCATTTCTTCCCTCTTAGCTACAGTGCTATTTTTTTTGTAAACACTTACCTGTTAAAGAGACCTAAGTATAATTTAAGAATCTTACATATTTACCTAAGTAGGTACCACTTCTGATGTCCTTCATTCTTTTTTGTATCTCCGTATTTCCATCTGGTATTATTTTCTTTCTGCCCAAAAGGATTTCTTTCAACATTTCTGATAGTATGGGTCTGCTGGTGATGAATTATTTCAGCTTTTATATGTCTGTAAAGGTTTTTGTTTCGCATTCATTTGCGAAAGATGCTTTTGCTGTTGTAGAATTATAGGTTGAGATTTTTTTCTTCTTTAAGTATTTTAAAGACTTTGCTTTACTGTCTTCTTGTGTGCGTTGTTTCTGACAAGAAATATGCTATCATGCTTTGTTCTTCTGTGACTGTGTTTTTTTCTCTCTAAATGTTTTTCATGGATCAGGGATTCTTGAATTAATGGACTTTTTTATTCAGTGTCTTGGGTGCCTATAAGGTTTCAATACTTTATATTTTGGAATTACTAAAACTTTACTTTCTGTCTGCCTCTCACTCAGCATAACATGGCATTTCCTTTTCTGTCAGGTCAAATGCTTCTGTTCTCCCTTTCTTAGGGCTTATATTGAAAATCAAGCAAGCAAACAAACAGATAAATAGAACATTTGGATCTCAGTTTAATGAAAAAACTTTTACATTTTTCTTAATGATGTTGGTCAAGCATTGTCTTCTTACCCTTTTCTTTTCAGGTCAATCAATGAGACTGTCCTGTTTCTTTGCATGAAAAATGGCACCAACATTTTATGACTGATATTTTAAAGCTACTTAGCATTGGGCGCATGGGTGGCTCAGATGGTTGGGCGTCTGCCTTCGGCTCCGGTCATCATCCCGGGATCCTGGGATCGAGTCCCGCATCGGGCTCCCTGCTCTTTGGGAGCCTGCTTCTCCCTCTGCTTCTCTCTCTCTCTCTCTCTCTCTCCCTCTGTCTCTCATGAATAGATGGATAAAATCTTTTTTAAAAAAAAGAAAACTACTTAGTATTTTCTTAAATAACATTACATATAAAATTAAGTGTGTATATCATTTTTTAAAAAATATATAAAGAGAATAAGAGCACTAACCCTAATAGTACTCGTCATAAAATGTATCATTCATTTAGAACCCATTATATGCAATTTTGTAGTTTGTCTACTCCCCATTATTCAATAACTACATTTCAGTTCAATTCAATCAATATTATTATAACCATATTAGAGATGAAAAAAATGGAGATATTTCATAAGTTAAGTAATCTTTCCAAACTCATATATCTATTAAGAGACAGAGTTAGGGCTTACTTGGGGGTCTTCTTAGCCCTTGACTCCATATTCTCTCACTGCACCTTGGTGACTTATGGAAGGCTGGTCACACCTCCTACTTTCAAAACTACTTTTCTATTTTATCATCTGTGTGTGTCACTTATTAATTAGAAACATACTAGAAGTGCAGACATTAAAACCTTACTGTTGAAGTTAATAATGTTCAAAAAATAGATTGCTCAGTCCATACAACAACAACCAACACAGGGAAGTCAAGATTAGCAACTATCATTTTATATGATCTATGAGAAAAGGAACCCAGGAGGTTCTGACGTCCACATCTAGAGGAAGTGTTGTTTTAAATAACAAACTTAGTAAGAAATTCTGACAGTCCACCAATCAGAGGGTATCTGTCTTTCTCATCTCAAAATTTTGCCAACTGTACTTCCCTTATAGCCAAGTCTTCCTTCTCATTATCCATCAGCCTTCTCAGGGAAGAGCTCAGCCCTTTCCATTTTTTCTAAAAGATTATTCTGTCTGCTCCTTAAGCCTGAGTTTATCCAACCAGTTACCAAAGGGAGTGATAAATGTATTGACTCTGTGATTGAACTGCCTGGATGAAAATTCCAGCAATATAACTTGCCAAATACTTGATATTTGGCAGATAAATTAAACTCTCCAAACCCCAGTTTCTTTATGGTCATAGTAATAGTTATCTACCATTTTGGTGCTATATAAACTGCTTAGCACTATGCCTGGCCCATATGTCTTCAGTGATATTAGCTTGTGTTATGTAAATAGCCACCTTCTGGGTCGAATCTCCCTTTTACATATGAAGAAATAAACTGACTTGCAGACACATCCTGAAACTTAGCTAACCCATCCACAAGGGAGGACAGGGGCTGTTGACTGATGTGAATCACAAATGCTCCTGTTTAACCATGGTTTGCAGACATCAATCAGTCATTTTTCATGAGAATGTTTACTTGGGGCAATAACTCATGGTCTCTAAGCCCAGTGAGACAGATAGAGAGCCGCAGATAAATAGGCAACAGTCAGGAATGGAAATTAGGAGGAGTCCTGCTTTGGGGCAGACCAAAAAAGATTTCAGTGTTTCACTGATGATGGAAAACTGCCATATTTTCAAGGCTGATGGAGTAGCCTTCCAGATTAGGTTTACATGTAATCACCTAACATAAAATTGTTCAACTTGCCATTTTTTTTTAGTCCTCAAAGTACATCCTTTAATTTGTTCAGTTGCTGAACAAACCTTTATTGAATATTGTGAACATTCTAGCCACTGGGAATATAAAAATAATTAAGATGAAGTTGTAGCCTCAAGTAACACACTCTTTCAGGATGGAGAGAGTTGGAGGGAAACATACAAATTGGTAATTGCCATCCAATATGGTGATTTTAATATTGCAGGGGTGTGGAGATAGTTCACTTCATACAGCTCACTGGCCCCAGGGAAAGCCCTGGAGGAGGAAAGATCATTTGGAATCAGCCAGGTGAAAGAGAAGGAAAGAAGGGGTATGCAGAAAACACCCACTGTGGATAGGTTTGCAAGGGCCACAGGTAGAGAGAGGTCGAGCTTGTTATGGGAGCCCTATTGATTCAGTGTGTAGGAACTCTGCCTCTGGTCTCCATCTCCTAGGGCTGCAGTTAGGATAAAGAAGAGGAAGAGGGAAAGCACTTGGCCCAGAGTGAAATACTAAGTTGTCTCTCTTGTGCTACTTGGCCATACCTCCTTAGAGTGCATGCTGCTTTTACTGACTGAATAAGTATGATTCTGGGCAACTATCTTTCCAGACCCCAACTACCCCATTGGTAATCTCCTATGGGGATGGGGAGGGGGGTGGTTAGAGCCAGATGTTCTCTAAGATTTGCCATAGCTGAGACCTAGAATAAATCTGATTTCCAGGAAAGGACATTCTAGTGTAGAGCCCACTACCTACACAGCTCACTCACCATCAGTCATCCTTTGTTTTTCAGGAGGACTTCGTGCCACTGGAACGCCCAGGTGAGGTCTCTTGTTTCTTATGCTGACAATGTTGTCATGATTTAGTCATGCCCACAAAACAGGGTCACAGAATTATAAGTACATTAAAAAATATTTGACCGGACTTCCTATTAACATTTTCAAATTCTTACAAAATCCAAAAATGTGATTCAGAAAGCCACTTTCAGCCATATTTATAATACTCACTTAGACCTACACATACACAGAACTCATGTCATTTGCTCTCCATGTTAATCTATCTACTTCCTTAAATGTGCCCTGGTGGAGAGCTGACCACTCACACCTTAATGGCATCATCTGTCACAGGGCTGCACCTCACTCTTCCTGCTCATTCCTCCACCACACACTCATGCAGGACATAATTATTGAATGCTGGCAATGTTCAATTCCCAATATTAATTGCAGAAGGAAACAGAAGTGGGAAAAAACACACCACTCTTTTCCCAGAAAGTCTTCATGGAATCTTACAGGAAAGGTAGATTATTGTAATATGAGCTGGAACATTGAAAGGGACCTTTTTAAAAAGACAAAAGTCAAGTTCTTTGGGAATGCAAAAGTCTTTGTGTATCAGTGTTTAAACATTTAAATTTTTGAGAACAATAAAAAATTAGGCAGATATAACTGTTTACCAAAAAGACCTTGAGACTGCACTTTTGCCCACTGACCTTGTGTCAGTCCTCCCTCTCTGTAATGCTGTCTTGGGCTGCACATCACGCCACACACACCTTCTGAGTCCTCTTGAGAGAGCCATGCAGAGTCAGGGTAGGCAGCCATGATATTTTTAAAATATTTTATTTATTTATTATTTGAGAGAGAGAGCGCGAGTGAGTGTGAGCAGGGAAAGGGCAGAGGGAAAAGGAAGGAATAGTTAGAGAATCCCAAGCAGACTCCACACTGAGTGTGGAGCCTGATGCAGTGCTCGATTTCATGACCTTGAGATCATGACCTGAGCCAAAATCAAGAGTCCGACACTTAACCAACTGAGCCACCCAGGCGTTCCCACAGCCATGATATTTTTACATGGACCGTGCTGGGCTCCTCCTGGATACCGGTTTTCCTGAGACTTGGTATGATCCACAATCCTTTTCTCCCTTGTGTCTCTCGCTGTCTGTCACAGTTACAGTCCCAAGGAGCATCGAGAGCCTTCCCGGTCCGGGCCCTCCAACACAGACCCCCACAGGCCCATCCACTCTGAGCCAGCAGCCCTGATGGAGCTGCAGCCTGTGTATAGCAATGGTGAGGACTTCCTAAGTATCCCAGGGCTCCAGGGATGCGCCAGAGTGGGAGGAGAGATGGAGCCACTGCCCAGGAAGGAGTCACACTCAACTTTAAAATGACATTCCTGGCCCAGTGTCTGAGACGGAAGGTGGTTATGAACTTAGTGGCTGAGAAGAGTCTAGAGTGTGGGTTCTGGACTATAGCTAGCTATCATCTGTTCTCTCACAGTGAGTCCTGGACATGACAATCTGGTTTATTCCCAGATCTGGAGCAGCCATCATACAAAGGAAAATCCAGGTGAGACCCCTTCCAGACAAGTGGCGGTGAGGTGGCCATGTGTGAGTGGATCCTCGAGGGGCCTCTGATCAGACCTCTCAAATATGAGTGGGACACGGAAGGAAGGCATCATCTCCTCCCGCACTGCCATCGTATGGCTGAGTCCCTTCCCATGGCCCCGTGTGCACTGCCACCGGACCCTGCAAACTCTCTGAGGACAGACACTATTGTTTCCCATGAACATACCAATAGCATTGGTTAGAAAACCAACCAGTGCAGTGCTTGGAAAACTATAGGCCTCTTCAAATACTGTTTTCAAAGAATGCATGACCGGTAATTGCTAGTGTCACCCTCTCATAACCTAATGTGTACACAATCATAATTTTCCCAACTGGTCTCTTTATTTCTAATCTTGTCCTCCTCTAGCCCCCCCAACACTCTGTTTCCAGCACAACCCCTCTGAGATACACTGCTGATCACACCCTGCCTCAGTGACTCTTCATTCCAAAGCTGGACCCTTGCCTCCCCCTGCACTTCGGCCCCTCCTCAAATCTCTGTCCTTACTCTAGCCGAGCTGACCCTTCCCATTTTCCTGCTCCTACTGGGCTGTTGCCTGCTTTGGTGCTCATGTGTCTTATTTGTTCTGAAATGTCCTTACCCCCACCTAGTTTACCCCCACCTAGTTTACCTCTGACCCTTGCTCACATGTCAAGACATACCTCTGTGAAACGTCCCACCAGCCCTCCCTCCCTGTGTCCGAACCTGGGAGGACGGATTACCCTTTTGGCAACAACAGAGTTCAGTATGCATTTCTATCTTGGTGCCCATTGTACTTGTTGCATACATTTACACGTTCATTGCCCCCCTTACAAATTATAGGCTCTTTGGGTATATGGACTGAGTTTGTGTTGTTTCTCTGTCCTTGTAGCTTACCAGTGTTTAATAGAAGGTCATTGTTCACTGAGTGCTTATTGGCTGAATAAATAAATGAAAGAGATCCAGAGGACCCCTTGGAAAGATAGAAGAAACACACACACTGAATTTTCTTAATGCTTCACTGCAAATCTTCACTGGGAATTTACTGTGTGGCCTTAGAATGGCAACCCCCTCTCCAGCCTCCTCCACTTTCCCTGCACCAAGTGAAACCCGTATTCCACTTTCTCCCAATCAGTGCAGCCACAGAGGCGCTGAGTGGGAGTGGGACAGGAGCAGGGGGACCACTTTGCTGGGGTGATGAGCAGTGGAGAGAGAAGGAAATCATCAGGAAAGTCACTCTGGACATTTGGTGGGCAGGGGAAAGGCTTTATCAGTGCGCGGGGGTGGGGTACTCTGTCTGAGGCTTGGAAGAATCCAGCAGAGCAAACCGTTGAGAGCTGAGTCAGCAGAGGAGAGATTTTTGAAATGCATTATGAGTGGATTGTAAGTTGGAATGTGTCACCCACAGTCTAATACTTTTCTTCCCTCCTCCCATCCAACAGCACCTTCACCAAAGACACATCAGAAGGATGAGGTGGGTCACCCTTTCCGGCTCTCTCTCCCCTCTGCACCTCCTCACCTCTGCTTAGGTACTTACTGTTTGTGGGTTTCCCACCAGGAATCAGCAATCATCTATTCAGAGGTGAAGAAGGCACATCCAGATGACCATGAAGGGCAGGCCCATGAAGATGCTGCGGAAAACTATGAGAATCTCCCATGTGCACCACTGGCCCTAGACCACTAGCCCTCTGCCCAGAGTGGCCCACAGGGAGCCTGGGAGCAGCCTATGTCTTCTCCCTGTTCTCCACAACCATGCACCCCCCTTCCGTTCAGGGGGCTGGGTGAAAGTTCTGCCCCACCCCTCCGTGACTGAGTCTCTGTGTTCTCTGGGAACAGAAGGGGCAGCGTTTCAGTAAACACTGCATTTCTGCACAGTAGAGACATGTGTGAAGGCAGGGCAGATGGGCCTTCACCTCCTGGGCCCGTGGAACAGAGGAGGAAGGGCGAATGGTCTAGCCAGGATCACAAGGGTGCAATCATGACCATGTGCTCAAAGTGTGATCGAAAGCTTTGAATGCGCCACCTCTGCATAAACAATTTGCTCTAAATACTTTGTTTCCTTTTTTAGATAGATAGGTGATAAGTGACTGATGATGATATTAATGAACAAGATAAATAGAGATATAAGACACACACACCAGTCCACTCAGAATTTGGGGACTTCACGAGTCTTCCTCTCTCACAAGATCAAACCTCCCCCCTTCCTGTAGCAGCCGAGTTCCACTGCTTAACTGTTCAACATCCACCATTTGGAGGCTCCAGAAATCAGCAGCAATCCTGGAATCCCAGTGGAGCCGGTGACTCTCACGACTCACAGGGCAAAGCCTAGTGTCGTGAGACACCCCTCCCATTGCCCACCGACTCCCAATTAATTCAAGCACTGAAGGTCCACCGTGGGAGAAAACATTTAAAAAGCATGCCATCTGTGCGTAAGTCTCCAGAAAAGCAGCAGAGTTGCTTTGAGTGGCTTTTATTCGTATGGAATAGCTGGAATTGTTAGCCTGTGTCACCTGGGGTGACGCTGAACTTTTTACTGCAGTAAAAAAAAATAGACCTTAGCAAGCTGGTGCGTACACTGAGGACTGGTATACATCCACTGATACACGTTATGGACAGCAGTGATTTTACACCTGCCATATTTATGACTCCAAGTAAATGACACAGTGAGGCTTTGCAAACCTTTGGAGTAGCAAGAATAAAAAGTACTAAGTGTATTTCAAATGTTATTCCTTTCCCTGTGGTGTCAGAAGCTTAGGCAACGGGAAGTGTAACATACAGCAAAATGCAATCCAATTTGAGGTTTTAATCTTAGCCTCAGGAATTTGGCTAGCAAGCTAATTTGCTGAGGGGAAAAAAAGTGATGTCCTTTATAAAGAGGGAATATATTATTTGTTACGAAAGAGAGACTTATATGTCTTGTTTCCATATTAGCTGGTACAAAATGCTCTCCAGAATGTATACTTGGCCTTTAGAGAGAGCAAGAAGTCCAGGTGTAATCTGTGCCTATGCTTAAATTTGGCCGTGAGTGCCTCCCAACTTTGGGGTCCAGGAAGAATAGAGCCATATAAGGGGGAGGGGGACATTCCACGAGGTGCCAGCTGTGGGAAACCCATCTGAAAGAATGGTGACAAAAGGCAAAGTCCCCAAGGGAGAGAGGCAGCATTGGGGCACCTGGGTGGCTCAGTCGTTAAGCGTCTGTCTTTGGCTCGGGTCATGATCCCAGAGTCCTGGGATCGAGCCCCACATCGGGCTCCCTGCTCAGTGGGAAGCCTGCTTCTCCCTCTCCCACTCCCCCTGCTTGTGTTCCCTCTCTCACTGTGTCTCTTTCTGTCAAATAAATAAATAAAATCTTTAAAAAAAAAAAGGCATCATTCCATGGCCGGTAAGAGTCACTCTGCAGAAGGGCACGTCAGCCGTGGAACAGCCACCAGGACGGCAGCCACTCAGGTGGACAAGATCCGTGATGCCAGCAAGAGATGGAGATTGCGCGGGGCTCTCTGGTGCACAGAACAGCTCTGACAGGGTGCGGACCCTTCTCCCAGAACTCCTTATCCAGGTCCTCAAACTGAGGGCAAACAGTACCTGTGAGCAGTCAGGGAGACCCTAAGGAATAATTGGGAGAATATCCAAGAGGAAGTCATATTTCCAGCTAGTCAAGAAGGTAACATTTGAGTCATCAAGATCTAAGACATGACTATAATCTCTTTCTTTATATTATATTTATTTCATTTATTTACAGATGTCTTGAAGAATAATTTATATGCAATAAATCTCACATATCTGAAGTATACAATTTGATTTTTTGGCAGAAATGTACATCCACGAAACCACCACAATCAAGATCCCAAACATCTCCATCACTCCCCAGTGCTCTCCTGCCCTAAGGAACACCTCTTTCCCTCCACACCTTCTCATGCCATCACGAGATGCTTTCTGTCACTGTAGATTAGAGTGTATTTTCTAAAGTTTTATGTAAATAGGATCATACAGTATATAGTCTTTTGTGCCGGGCTTCCCCTCACTAAGCAAGAGAATTTTGAGACTCATTCACATTGTATCAAATAGCCGCAACACATTCCTTTTTATTGCTACATAATATTCCATTGGATATACCACATTTTCATTATCCATCTATCTGTAAATGGACATTTAGATTGTTTCATTTGTCATTAAAAATAATACTACGGAAATTCATATACAAGTGTTTGTGTGGACATGTTTCCATTGCTCCTTTGCAAATACCTGGGAGTATAATTGCTGAGTCACATAGTAGATTTATATTGAAGGTTTTAAGAGGCTTGATACTCTTTTCCAAAATACCTGCACCAGGTCACATCCCTGCCAGCACTGACTGATAGCTACAGTAGTTCCACACCCTTGTCAACACTTGGCATTTGCAGTCTTCAACTTTAGCCATTGCAAAGAGTGTATGCTGTAGTGTAGTGTGATCTCACGTGTTGTTTTAATTTCCCTGGTGATCCATGAGCTGAGTCTCTTCTCAAGTCCTTATTCACTCTTTGCAGACTTTGTGAAGGGTCTGTTCACACCTTTCACTTCTTTATTGGACTATTTGTCTTTTTATTATTGAATTGCAAGATTTTGGTATCTTTAGTTTTTTTGTTCTGGTCTGATTTACATGTTGCAAATATCTTCTGTATGTAGCTTGCTGTCCATTTTCTTAATGATATTTTTTGAAGAGCACAAGTTTTCAGTTTTGAAAAAGTGCAATTTATCAACTTTTTAATTTTGTGAGCCTACTTTGTGTTTCTTATCTAAGAAAGTATACCCCGAGGTCAAAAAGATTCTCTTCTATTTTTCCCTAGGAGTTTTATAGTTTTCACATGTACATTCAGGTCTATTCACCATTCAAAGTGAATTTTTCGGTATATGTATAATATAGGAAAAATATTCTTTTTATTCCTGTGAATATCCACTTGTTCCAGCACCATTTGCTGAGTAAGCATTCTTTTGCTTCTTTTTAATTTGAGCTGTTCCTCTCATCCAGTTACTGGAGTTATTTATGTATTTGGGGTATATATCCCTATGTCAGATATATGTTTAGCAAATATTTCCTCCTGATTTGTGACCTGTGTTTAAGTTCTGTTAACTGTGTCTTTCAAACAGCAAAGATTTATAATTTAATGGAAATTATTTACCATTTTTCTCTTACAGTTCATATTTTGTATAGCCTGTGTAAAAACTATTTGCCTAACTGAATATTATAAAGTTTTTCATCTACATTTTCTTCTAGAAATCTAACAGTTTTTAACTCTTCTATTTAGATATGCGGTACATATCAAGTTAATTTTTGTATACAATGAGGTGAGAATTGATGTTAATTTTTTCCCATACAGACATCCAGGTGTTTTGCCACCATTTCCTTAAAAAACAAAACAAAAACAAAAACAAAAACCACACCTTTTTCCCATAGAATTACTTTATAACCTTTGTCAACAATAATGGGCCATATCAATGTTAGCCTACCTCTGGGTTACCAGTAGATGATCTTACACATCTATCCTTATACCCAAAACCACACTTTCCTGATTACTGTTGCTTTGTGTTAAGTCTTGAGATCAATTGGTATAAGCTCACCAACTATGTTGTTTTTTTTCCAAAATTGTTTTAACTAACCCAGGGTTTTTGCCTTTCCATATGAATTTTTACACTAATTTTTAAAATTTATTTAAAAAGCCTCTTAGAATTTCAATTGGGATTGCACTGAATCTGTGGATGAATTTGAAGAGAGCTGCCGTCTTAAAAACACTGTCTTCCAATCCATGCACTTCATACAACTTTCCATTTTTGTATTTCTATTTTGCACATTTTTAATTAAATTTATTCCTAATTGTTTTATATTGTATGCCAACATAAGTGGAGTCTTTATTTCCTTTTAAAATTATTACTAGTATTCTTTGGTAATACTCCTCAATTTTCTGAAAGAGTTTGTGTAGAATTGAAATGTTTCCCCCTTGGATATTTGATAGAATACACCAGTGAGGCTGTTTGGACCTGCATTTTTCTTCATGGGAAAGTTTTTTGATAAGGAACTTAAGCTCTTAATTGATAGACTATTCAGACTTTTTTTTTCTTTTTGTGTCAATTCTGGCAAGTTGTATTTTCCAAGGAATTTGTTCATTTCATTTAGCTGTCAATTTTATTAGCATAAAATTTTACGTAATATTTTCTGATTTAGTGCTGACTTTCTTCCATTCCTAGTATTGCTGATGTTTTTGCTCTTTTTCTTTTTGATCTGTTTAGCTAAGTTTCTCAGTTTTATCGAAGAATTGACTTTGGTCTTTGTTAATCGATTCTATTTTGTTTTTCATGACTTTGATTGCTTCTGTTATCTTTATGGTTTTATTCCTCTGACTTACTTTATGTGCGGTAGGCAGAGCTCTTAGATGGATCCTAAGATTCTTGCCCCCGATGACCCTCATCCTTGTCTCTTCTCTTCTCGAATGTGATCAGGACTTGTCAATGTGATCAGATACCACTCAATAAATAGGTTACTAATCATTGATTTTTGGTTAATCAAAAGGGAGATTTTCCTAAGCTATCTAATCAGGTATGTCTTGAAAAAGAAATGAAGCATCAGAGAGATTCTCCTACAGGCCTCAAAGAAGAAGCAGGTCACGTGCTGGAAAGGGCCCATGAGGAGAGGGACCATGCGCAGGAGCTGAAGTGGGTCCCCAGCCCACTGCCAGCAAGACCAAAAGGACCTCAGTGACACAGCAGAGAGGGAATGAAGGGAACTCAGGAGGGGATCTTGCCCCCTCATGAGGATTCAGTCAGCTGACACTCAGATTCCAGACTTGTGAAACCTTGAGCCAAATACCCGGTGGAAGTTCCAGGCCCCTCACCCACTCAGATAGCAAGCAATAGATGTTTGTTGGCTTAAGTTGCTATATTTGTTGTAATAGAAACACAATAGACAGCGAATAGGTTGTCTGCTCTGCTCCTCTGTTTATTGCTTCTTTTTTTTTTTTTTTTTTTTGTCTTTTAAGAGAGAGAGGGAATGAGGGGAAGGGCAGAAGGAGAGGGGTAGAGAGAATGCCATGCAGGCTCCACGCCCCGCACAGAGTCCGAGGCGGGGCTCGACTTCACAACCCTGAGATCATGACCTGAGCCAAAATCAAGCGTCAGTGAACCGACTGAGTCACCAGGTGCCCCCTCTGTTTCTTGCTTCTTAAAATGGTACATTGAGTCATTCATTTTCAACCTTTCTTCTTTTCTAATATCAGCATTAAAAGCTATGGGGTTTTGATACTAAAACTTGTGGAGCTGAATCCCAAAGTTTGGTTACTATTGGTATGGTTAGATTTAGGCCTTCTATTTTTTGTTTTTTGTTTTCCTGATTTGTCTTTCTCTGCTCACTCTTCCTGCCTTCTTCTAGATTATTTGTATATTTTTAAAATATTTTATTCAGTTCTAAATAGTCTCTAGTAGCCAGTTATTATTTAAAAGACTGTTGTTAATTTCCAAGTATTTGGGATTTTCCCAAATATTTTATTGGTACTGATTTCTTATTTTTACATTTTCATACTTAAGTATTCTTCTAAAATTTCAATTTAATAGCTTGATAATATTACATTGTATAGATGTATTCTCACTTACCATTCCATCGGTTTTGACAATTCCTTTTTTTCCTATTTTTATAAAAACTCAAGAGTTGAAACTTTTGTCTGCATCTCTGATTTTTTCCTCACAATCAATTATTATTGGGAAAAGGACTATAAAGAACTTTCCAGCTTTTTTTTTTAAAGATTTTATTTATTTATTTGACAGAGAGAGAGATAGCGAGAGAGGGAACACAGGCAGGGGGAGTGGGAGAGGGAGAAGCAGGCTTCCCGCAGAGCAGGGAGCCTGATGCGGGGCTCAATCCCAGGACCCTGGGATCACGACCTGAGCCAAAGGCAGATGCTTAACGACTGAGCCACCCAGGTGCCTCAAGAACTTTCCAGCTCTTAACACAGAAAAGATTTACAGTTTATAGTCCTAGAAACATTGTTGATGAGTTTCAACATTAGGTGGTTCACTTTTTTTACAAAACTGATAGAAATTATATTTTATTGTTTCAAGTTTCACTTATTTAGTTATTAGTGGAGTTGAATATAATTTTGTGTGTTTTGGGCAGTGTTTTTTGCTTTAATAAATAGTTTAGGATCAGAACTTTACTCATTTTCTAGAAATTGGAATAGTCTTTTCCTTTTTAAAAAAAATTTTTTTAATTAAAAAATTTTTTTAAATTCTTTATTTAAATTCAATTTAGTTAACATATACTGTATTATTAGTTTCAGGCGTAGAATTTAGTGATTCATCAGTTGCATATAACACCAGTGCTCATTACATTAAGTGCCCTCCTTAATGCCCATCACCCAATTACTCCTTCCCGTCCAGCAACCCTCAGTCTGTTTCATAGATTTCAGTGTCTCTTATGGTTTCCTCCCTCTCTATTTTCATCTTATTTTATTTTTTCTTCCCTTCCCCTATGTTCATCTGTTTTGTTTCTTAACTTCCCCATATGAGGGAAATCATATGGCATTTGTCTTCCTCTGACTCTTATTTCATTTAGCATAAAATCCTCTAGTTCCATCCACATCATTGCAAATGGCAAGATTTCATTCTTTGTGATGGCTGAGTAATATTCCATTGTGTGTGTGTGTGTGTGTGTATATGTGTGTGTGTATATATATATATATCACATCTTCTTTATCCATTCATCCATCAATGGACATCTGGGCTTTTTCCATAGTTTGGCTATTGTGGACATTGCTGCTATAAACATTTGGATGCATGTGCCCCTTCAGATCACTACACTTGTATCTTTGGGATAAATACCCAGTAGTGCAATTGCTGGGTCGTAGGGTAGCTCTATTGTTAACTTTTTAAGGAACCATCATACTGTTATCCAGAGAGGCTGCACCAGTTTGTATTCTCACCAACAGTGCAAGAGGGTCCCCCCCTTCTCCACATCCTCACCAACATCTCTTGTTTCCTGAGTTGTTAATTTTAGCCATTCTAACTGGTGTGAGGTGATATCTCACTGTGGTTTTGATTTGGATTTCCCTGATGCCGAGTGATGTTGAGCATTTTTTCATGTGTCTGTTAGCCATTTGTATGTCTTCTTTGGAGAAATGTCTGAAGAATAAAAGTGAACCATTTTCTTACACCATAAACAAAAATAGACTCAAAATGGATGAAAGACCTAAGAGACAGGAATCCATCAAAACCCTAGAGGAGAACACAGGCAGCAACTTCTCCAACCTGAGCTGCAATAACTTCTTTCTAGACACAACGCCAAAAGCAAGGGAAACAAAGGCAAAAATGAACTATTGGGACTTCATCAAAATAAAAATCTTTTGCACAGCAAAGGAAACAGTTAACAAAACTAAAAGACAACCTATGGAGTGGGAGAAGATATTTGCAAATGACTTATCAAATAAAGGGCTGGTATCCAAACTCTATAAAGAACTTATCAAACTCAAAACCCAAAAAACAAAAAAATCCAGTCAAGAAATGGGCAGAAGACATGGAATAGTCTTTTTCTAATGAGTTGTATGAGTACTTTATGAACTAGGGATACTAATTCTTTATCTATTATGTGTGATGTAGATATTCATGGTGTGCCATTTGCCTTATACTTTTGTTTGTGGTATTTTAATATGCTAAAGTCCTCTCATAGATTATGAAAATATATTCCTGACTAAGATGCTTTCTTCTAGCTATGGGTTTTGGGTCATAAGATATGTCCTGAGACTTCTCTAAATTTCTCTAAACCTGAAATCCAGACTTAGTCTCAAGAGAGGAAATATTCGTGTGAATGTGAGAGACAAGCCACTTCTCCAATTGTGTTCTCCAAAGCAGAATGTCTTGATGATCTTATTCTTAATATGTAAGCCAACAGCAGTGCTCATTGATGAATGAAGAGACATGTATGTGAAGAGTTATAACCCATAACACAGTAGCCCCTCAAAGACCCCTTTGATATCTGTTTCCTCCTGAAACTAATCTTTCTGTACATGAAATCATATTTACAAACTGTCTCCTCCTCAAAACTGTAAATCTCTCCCTTCCTTGGATTGGAGGAAGTTGAATGGATCTATATACACATGCCACCCTGAAATCAATCTCTCCCCTCTTCCTTATCAGTGGATAATTAATGTGATTCTGCTTCCACAACTGGCATTTCTTCTGCCGCTGACCTTGCTTTACATGTGGTGGGAGGGGTAAAAACAGAACAGAGGGAAGTAGACACAAAAGGAAGAGGTAGTGGTTAGTGGTCTGCTGAGAAAGTTTTCAGAAGACTACAAAATCAAAAAGATGAGAAAATGAATAATTCTGGCAAGTCTCTGGTTTCTTCTCTTCGGCAGTTCCAGGCAGAAGAAAAAGAATCTGTGCCTTCTTTTGTTCTGTCTTCAAGATTTCCAGGCAAGGATGGCTCCCTGGCCAGTGCCCAGAGGCTCCTATGTATCTACCTAAGCCCCTTTTAACAGTGACAAGAGTGTGGTCTCCCATCACCCAAGGCCACAGGAGCTCTGTAGTCACACCTGCCTGCCTGCCATTCTGTGTGAGCATGGCCTGCCCCACAGGTAAGCCTGTCTTCTGAGGAAAGGCAACGAGGGGATGAATAAGATCTCCAAAGAAAAGGGCAGGTTTTACAGGTGGCTATTGATGAAACAATGTCTGAGCTATAAATCTGCTCACAGTTCAGCAGCTGACAGACTCCAGTGAGATGGATCTGAAAACAAACATGCACCAAGGGAGTCTTACTGAAAAGTCCCTGCTTCCTGCCAGAATCAAGTGGTCTCACTGTGAACCTGTTTTCAGTACCCTGTCACTTTGCTTCAGCTTCAGGTTAACAAGGTGCCTGGAATATTTCTTGGCACAAACTCCTTTTGTCCCTATGTACCTGGTGGAATTAGAAAGATCCCCACACTAGTTTGGAAAAGAGAAGACACTTGCTCTCGACACAGGCTTAAATCTACTGAAAGTGGGACTTGCTCTTTCATGCATAAAATATCGACAAGCTTCTTTCGGAATCAGGAACATGGACCAAGTTATATGGCCTTAAATAGAAATGGGAATTTATTCCCATTTATCTAAAAGCCATTTAGAACACTGATCAGGAAGGTCAAGAATGAACTGGGATCAGAAGGCAGCATGCTGCGGGAAGCTGGCAGGAACCTGCCCCTCACCTGCCACGGGGGTCCTACTCAACGTCCCTGTGCCTCCATCTCTTTAGCCTAAAATGAGAACAAATGTGCAGCTCATAAGATCTTGTGAAGATTAAATGAGTTAATGCATGTGAAGGGCTTAGAACTATGTCTGGAACTTACCAAATACTCAAATGTTAGCGATTTCTCTTGCTGTCTGCTCTTGCTTCTATCTGCCTACACGTCAGTTTTTATTTTGCTTCTCTGACAAAACGTCCCAGCATCTGAAATAATCTTTTTTGCTTAACTGTTCACTTGTATGACATCAACCTTCCATCACAGCCTCCATTGAGGGGGACAGGCTGCTCTGCTGTGTGCTTCATGCTGGTGCTGAGAAATCAGGCTGCCTCTCACCGACGCTCTGAATGCTTCTGCTCTGGAAACTGTCACTGTCTGGCATGCCCGAATTGTTTCTGTCTCCCCGGGGAAGGCTGGACTTCCAGACCCAGGGAGGCATGGTTGATCAAAATTCATTTGGTTCAAGTCAGACTGACGGAGATGACCACATGCAACATTTGAAGTCCTGCCTCTGGAAGGTTTCCTTCATCACCTGCTTTGAGGGACGATCTTGATTGGGGGTTCTATGTGACAGCAGACCCCCTCCCGTGAATCCCAGCACACTGTACAAGAACACCTGTAAAGCAAGCCCTGGTTCCTCTTCTTCTGGTCCCTTGTCTCCAGTGAACAGGTTTCACGGAGTTCTACATGGGGCCGTAAGTGTGGACTGTGGGAGAAGACAGGCAGCAGAAGTCAAGCTATGTGCTTCTACAATGCCTGTATGCCAGCATGAGCCTGTGAGGAGGGATGCTGTTGTGCACGCACAGCCTTGTGGTCACAGGAGACTTGCTCGTGACGGACGAGCAGTTCAGATTGCCTCATCCTTCGATGTGCCATGATGGAGCATGAAATTTCCAGTAAGACCCAGTGGCGAACTGGATGCTTTTTCTCAAAAAAGAATATGGTTTGCCCTAAAACCCTAGGAGCCATGCCCTGATTCTCTCATCCTGGCTCCTCAGAAGCCCCATCCAACACCCATTTTGGCTACAGTCACTCCAGGCAACACGAGATCTGCTGTATCCCTTGTCTCAAGTGGTTGAGCAGTTTCTACAGCAATCCGAGCTTGCAGATCCTTCTCTTGCCCTGGGCCTGGCTGAAAACTGACTGCCTTATGGGCTACTCAGCAACTGGGTAAGAACAATACACTTAAATGAGGAATATGATGCCTCCAAAATCCAAAAAAATCCGCCAAGTATTTTATCTCTTCTTTAGTGACAAAGGGGTGCAAGTGGCAGCAATTTGCTTTAACTCTGAAGATGTCCTGAGATGGGGTTAATAATATCATCTAACTTACATGAATTCTGTGAGGAGAAATTGGATACTTGGGCCAACACATGGTCTTGAGCAAGTGCTTGTAAGTGTTAGCTCTGACGATGATGATGGTAATGTTGATTACGTTTATTATTGTTGCTATACTTGAAATTTAAGCAAGATTGTACAGACAAGGCCTTTTTAGTTCTCTAAAAGCCTCCCTTCTCCCCTTCCTGGCCATGGCACGCCACAGTCGGTGGGGTCGGAAGGAGCAGAGGTAATGTCTGACACAGAAATGACAGGAGCCACCTCTCTTCTTAAAAAGCCGCTATCAAATTCAAGAAGCTGGTTTATATCTGCTCAAGCAGCTATTGGGCGTCTGAGTCATTTTATATGTAGCAGTATGTTCCACTGAAGCCCTAGACTGTTCTATGGTTTTTAGCAAGAATATGATAGGAAGTGTCCTCGGTCCTCACCTCCCGTGTACATTTCTGTGAGTGTGTGTGCGAGGCAGGGGGGAAGCAGTAGCAGGAGAAGCTGGGGATTCTCATGTCTGGAAACAGAGCCAGAGATCCCAAATTCATATGTAGAGCGAGTTTGGTGAAAAGGGACAATGGGGCTGGAAAGAGGACAGTAGAGCAGGACATCATTAGGACTTTAGTTCCCTCTTTCCCATCAGGTGGGAACAGGGCTTTATTCCAGAGAGGTCCTGATGCCATCCTGAGCCCCTCTCATGTCTGCTGGTGTATCAGGACCAGAGACCAAGCATCACAAAGCTTCAGCATGACCACCACCTTCCTCGTCTCTTCACCTTTCCTGTACTGGGTGCCCATGATGATGCTCTGGAGATCGTGCAGAACACCAGTGGCCTGGGAGGTGCAACACCATGGGCAGGGAGCGAACAGTCGGCTAGAGAGCAGCCTGGTGCTGGGACTGACCCCACAGGGAGGTGCATATGGATCAGAGAGGATAATGGTGAAGCAGGAAGTGTGAGGAGGTCTGAGCACACGGCACAGACTATAGTTTGTCCGTCCTGTGATGCCCCTGCAGAGGAGGGCAGGTGCTCCCATTACTCTTCCTAGCCTGGCACACTCTTCCCTGGAGCTGCCCCAGCTGCAGGGGTCAGCATCCTGAGGTAAGCACACGGCCCAAGTGAGGAGGACGGGGTCCTGCCTCACACAGAAGTACATTCACAGCTGACACTCACCCTCCTCCAGCCGCTCTGGAAACACTTCTGGGGCCAGGTCCTACTATAGTGATGGGGACGCTGCTTGGTTTCCTGGCCGCTCAGTCCCTTTACCTAAGGTTGAATCTCCTGAATAACTCAGATGCACAGCCAGGTTTGGGCTAGTTTGGGCTAATTAACAAAACCAACAATAACATAGGAAATATTGAGTACCAGATACTGTTACCTTCACTTAGCATGCATTAATGAATTTAATCTCCATTTGAGAGGTATTATTACTGTTTTCCCCATTTCACAGACACAGAAACCAAAGCACGGGAGGTTGAACAACTTACCCAAAGTGGCCCAGCCAGTAGCTGGCTGAGGAAGCATGGCCGCAGAACCATGCTCTGTTGCACACACACTATTCGTAAAAAGTACACCAAGGCCCACAGAAGCTAAGTGATTCACTCAGGTTAACCAGCCAGTAGCCAAATCACTAAATTTTCCAGGTGCAAAGCACCAGCTGGCTGCCCTTGAGAAGACAAGCATCTCACATTTTTCATTCATCCCACTAACACGTATGAAGCACGAGCTCTCTGCCAGGAGGGAGAGACACAGTGGGATGCACTGGGGCACCGACAGCCAAGGAGTATATAGGGTGGCAGTCCCATGACGTGTCCTGACTGCACACTTCTGGGCAAGGAGCCTGCCGGCCTGTCTTCTGAGGTGCCTGAAACAAGTGGACCACTTGTGTGCAATCCATCCCCAGAGAATGTGCCTTGGCCAACACCAACGCTCTGCCATGTAGGAAGCGTGCCGGTGCCAACGCCCAAAGCTGAGATCGCTGTGTTTAGTCCACACTTACGGGCTGGTTCACTTATTCAACATTTATTATGCATGTACCATGTGCTAAAGATGCTGAAATTCTTCTGATTTAACACTCAGAACAGAGAACTTGGGAAAAGTCTCAAGACAGGAATTTGAACATGCTGCATTCTACATCTCTTGCCTTCTTTGGCACTAAGCACACGTTGTACCGCCTGGAACAACCACTTCTGCTGCCCCCACCCCCCCACTCCTGGCTAACTCCTACTTTTTCATATTCCAGCTCAGTGCCACTGTCTCTGAGAAGTCCCATTGTTCTCCCAACTCCATTAAAAATAATGATGAAAGATTATAATTCCTAATGATAATAATAACTAGTCCTTAACATAGCACTTGCTTCAAGCCCTGCACTGTTCCAAGTGCTGGACATATGTTAACTGATTGTATACAGTATTGTTTACATATGAAGGACTTAGGCACAGAGAGGGCAAGCAAGTTAGCCAAGGTCACACAACTAGCAAATGATAAAGCCTAGTTTTGAATTCAAAAGTCTGGCTCCAGAATCAATACAAAGATGCCATAGATTTAAGACAATATTTTATGACACCTTTCAGAATGCAAAAAAGAAACACTGCATTAAATGTATACTAAAACCCTATGTTGATGACAATTGATATATATTCACATAACTGTATCCCATTTTCTTCCTTGATGTTACATTTGACTTTTGTGTCCAAGACTCCCTCTTGCTGAGAGTGTAAATTTTCTTCTGAACCACTTTAGCCAGCAGCAGTATGCATGGGTACTTTAGATGTCATGATATAGTTTCCAGGCATATCAGAGAACAAAAAGCTAAGTTGAAGTTTCATTTTTTATCTGGGTTGTACCATGAGTTACTGAAAGTTAAGTAACTTTTCTGGGACACTAGCCCAATGTGATAGAAAGATACATACACAGCCTAGATCTTTGAAGGAGATGACAATGAGCAATGCTACTGATGAAAATTTCCAGTCAGGTGATTAGTTTTCTCTGAACTTGACTCAGACATCCCCAGCTTCGATTCATCCTGGTCACC